CTGACATTTTTTTCATAAATAATATACATTTATTCACTGCTAGTGTACAATATTAATTACAACATGTCCAATTAACTTCTTTTCCTGTGTTGGTGGTGCCTCGGTGAGTCATCTGACGATGACGAGTATTAATCAATTTTCACGCATTCTCATACAAATTGAAGAACTGATCACTATAATACCTTTCAAAATCGTAGGATCTACTTACAAGGACCCCTTCACTTTTGCATGACAAGATTGTCCTTCACCTGACGTCCTCATGACTTTTTAATCTGACTTGTCGTAAGGATTTTTCACCCGCGGGCGAATGTGATTGAGCAGCCCTGGTTGGTGACACACTCCTACCCAGTACACATGGAGAAGCACTTCTACTATTTATACTTTGGGTAAACACTTTACAGTACGAAGCAATCATATCAGTGAAAACAGTTATCGCGAGCCAGACTTATGTCTGATTTTCCAGAAACAGTCCAGATAAGCAGGGATATGTCCGGACTCCTATTGTGTGTGTGTGTGTGTTTTTTTTTTTTTTTTGGCCTTCGCATTTTCTGGACTGGAGTCTGCCCCAATTCCAATTTATCGAGATTCTACTGTCCTTAATGTTTCCGAGTTTCAATAAAATGGTTTCCATACAAGCTGTTGAGAAGGTGATTAAACTCAGAGAAAAAAGACAACTGATAATGCAATATCTGATCATAAAAGAGAGTCATTCTGATCATTGTCTTGAAGATGCAGTTAATTCAAAGGAATTTTCAGTAATACTGAGTTCCCTGTTCTCTGCAAACAGCTATGTTTTACTACCAGCAGACAAGAGTTCTTTCATGAAAACATTGAGGAACTACCCAGCATTGAATCTCAACCAGTTGATGATGATCAACAAACGAGAAGGAAACCTAACTAGTTGTCTTGGACGTGATTATGATGAACTTTGAGTGATATTCGACAGATACATTGAAGACTACCTAAAAGAAAAAGAAAAACAAGACAGAAAAGAAATGGTGGCATTGAGGCTGTCAAATTCCAAATAGCTGACACATCTTCACTAAAGACTACATCACTGAAGAAGTTTCTTTCACATGTGAAGACCAAAGACAAACATACCAAATATTAGGGTCATGCTGTTCTTCATGACACCTTTCTTCAAGAAAAAAATGTTGTTGTACTGTAGTCTATGGTACCTCTGCTTTGGGTGGTATTGATGATTACCTGAAGAAGCGGATACCCTGATCCTTCACCATACCCTCGATGCTGATCAGAAACATCCTAAATAAGTCATTGATGTGCGTTCACCTGACACTGATTTATTTCTATTACTCATGGACCTCTGTGCACACCACTCATGCACTTCACACTCATTGCGGGTCAGGCAAAACTGACTCATCGCGTAAATACAGTGAAGATGTTTAGCAGTAGGAAAAGTGAAGGCTCTGGGACTACTGGGTCTTCCTGCATTCAGTGGAGATAGTATTAGTAAAGACAGATGGCTCAAACAGTACCTACAAATGGAAGAGATCTGTAAAATCGTCCAACATATGGGCAGAATGACAGATGAAAAGAAGGAAAATTTTATCCTCTAAAGGCTAATTTGTAGCATGTATAAAAATGAGACATATTTTTCAAAAGTACTGTATGTGTCCTTAGATAGGATATGTTTAGAAAAAAAAGGGAACAGGAGGAGAAAATCTACCCTCAAGATGGGCTATGCTCGAACCACACATCAAGAGATCAAGAGTAATTGTAAACATTTTGAAAGGGTATCACACTTCCACACCACAACACATTCCTTTGGATGGAAGTGGATGAATTATAGATGGTGAGAAATTCTACCTTGTTAAGTATTTTCTACCTTCTGCTCCAAAAGACATTTTGGATTTGGTTCTGGCATAAAAAACAATCTCGTGCACATCGTTGTAGCAAGTTGACGCAGACGATGCATAGAATGTAAACGATACAGAGACAGTGTAATTCTCTCAAGTTATCTCAATTATAATTGTAATGACTTTCACTAGAAGTTATAATTGTAAGTGAATCAATGTCTATTGTATTGTACTGACTTTATCAGGCATAAACCATAATATATAAAAGTGGCTTTTCTTTACCCTTCGTTGTATAACTGTAGCAATATCATCAATTAAAATTAAAAATAAACAAGGTTATAAATCATCTAGATGTGTCTATCAATACCAGTACAAAATATAATGGAATGCCATCAAATTAAAGATGAAATACAAATTATGCTTCAACTCTTACAGGACTTTCTTTACTGATGCTCTGAAATGTGTCAGAACCTCACCATCAGTGCCACTCTCCACTGCATAAGTGTCTATTTTAAGTAACAAAGTTAGCTTATTTCATAAGCACAACATTTATATATTGTTTTATTTGAGTATATGGTTTAAATCTCTAGGTCTATATAATTAAATTTTGATATAGATTTTGGTCAGCACCATCAGAGATCAGAGTACAGTCAACCCTCGCTTTACGCAGTCCCACTTTACGCGTTTCCACATTTACGCGCGGTACCCTGCCGAACATGGAATGCTCACTTTCCGCGGTGTGTGTACCCTTTTACGCGGAGAGTGGCGCAAGCAGGGTGCGCACAAGGTCGCCCAGTCATCAAAACATTACCGAGTTCTTCACCCGCCACCCACCACAGCCGGCCCAAGTCGGTGATAGTGATAATGATAGTGAGGATATGGACTTTGAGGGGTTTGACAAAGAGGCCCTGCAAGCCTCTGTGGTGGATAGTGATACAATTGATACAAGTGATACAAGTGAGGGCCAATAATCTGCCCTCTGCCTTGGAACCAACCCCCTATCCCCGTGTGCCCAGCCATCTTTTCTACTAATGTAAGTGTTAAAAAACCTAATATTATTGATATTTCTCTTAATTATTAATTGTGTGTGCATACCATAATAATATTAAGAAGTTATTTTTACTACAACGTAGGTATTGTGTCTGAAAAAGTGGAGTTTGGGGGTCGGCCCAGTCTCTATTTCAATTAATCCCATATGTTATGTTGTTCACTTTACTCGTTTCTCACTTTACGCGGGCCGCTGTGGGTTCAATTGACCACGTAAAGTGAGGGTTCACTGTATTGGTTATGACATAATAGAGGTTATTAAAGTATCTACTCTGATGTTTACCTACAGTATAGAATTTCTACCCTTGTAGTAAGATATACATTAATTAGCATCACAATTATTTTACATATTCTGACCCCAAATATGTGATTAACACCTATTAATGTACAGTCTACAACAAAATTTTCTGCACCTTTATGGTTTTATTAAATATGACACACCAGACCAAGAATTCTGAACAACACTCATTTATGCAGGTGATTTCTGTTAATTTCTCTGTATTAACTATAAGTGATATAAAAATTACATCATACTGGTTAAACAATGCATCACACAACCAGAAATACCAACCTTACCAAATTAACATGGCCTCAGTCAATGATCGTTGCAGAGGCCATCAGACCAACGGGTGCAGAAAATTTTTTTGCTGACTGTACAATAAATATCCAAGTTGGCAGAATTTTTTTTTCATAATACCCTAAATCATGCAAATCAACCATAAAAACAATTTCAGCACACCAATCTCACGAAATTACGTAATTAACCTCACAATCACTAATATACTGTAATTAGTAAGTAAAATACATCTTCCCATAGTCAGGCTTTTAAAAAGAATTAATGACATCTTATTTGGAGAGAGCATGTTGCTCTTGAAATATATCACCCTGCACCTTAATGGGAAAAGATTTGTAAGAGTAGGAAAATATCACTTATGTTAAACCAAGCTATTTAACACCAATTAACTGAGTGTTTTTAATTCAGGTTTTAGTATTTGCTAAAGAAACGTTTTATAAATTTCTGAGGTTGGTTGGTAAATGCGATAACAGAATACAGTAAACCCTCGAAGATACGGACCTAGTAAATCCAGATTTCGGAAGATTCGGACAACAAAATTGGGGGTTCTGTGCTAAGAAGCCTCCCTAAGAAGCATCCCCAAAACAGGGTGAAGGTAGTTTAAGGTTTAAAGTTTTTAACTTATATAATATCACAGACTAAAATTAGCAGAATATAACTTGTATTGCTGGAATCCTTGCAAGAGAGTGAATAATTTGAGTATAGACATCATATATTTTGTAAAAAAAGATAAAATTTTTCGTCCTTTTGTGTAGTACATCGAGTACAAATGAGTACAGTAATATGTTGCCCAAAATTATGGCTTTTTCATAGGAAAAAGTCTGTATATCTAACCCCAGTGGTCAGGATAATATGTACTGTATTTTCGGTGTTTTTTGTATCATTATTTATCGTTTTTATACATTTTGTACATTTGCCGGAAGCTTCGGACAATCAGCTTTTCCGGACAGGTGGTCCCCCCTTTTAGTCCGGATCTTCGAGGGTTCACTGTATGTCATTAAATGAACATGAGAACAGGAAAAAGATGACCCAGCACTATTCTCTCCTCCTCAACATGTAAACTGCCCCCATCAACTTGTGTACCTGAGCTTACATGTCTCCATTTTGTAAGTAGGACTTATCAGGTAAGTCTTCTTTTGAAATGTATTACCGTACAGTACTGTGTTTTATTTTTATATTATTAAATTATTTTAGTGGGTGGATATTGTATGAATGTCTTGAAATTGTGACAGAAATGGTTTAGGGTGGTACTGTGTACATTGTGAATTGTACTGATATATGTTTACCTTTAAACAGTTGCAATTCATGCAATTTGGCTTGTACAAGCTTTTTTTGAACACAACCCTCACATATAACAAGGACCACCTAGTAACAGAGTAGCCTGAAGGCTCTTCTGTCATGGCCAACCCCTCAGAGGGGAGCTGGTTAGAAAAGTGAGGTGTTGAGGATATGAGAAGATAAGATACATACTGTATAGTAAGACAGATGGAATATTTATAGTTATTTCTTAGGAGACACAATGTACAAATAGATAGAGAATTAAAAGGCCAGAAGAAACTTACCATCCTTGTGGTATTTGATCCTGTCTCCTCCATGTTCCAGGTAATCTGCCCTGGTAAGCCCCATAGCCACCAGCTCTTCACTAGTGTCTAGGGCTCCATACCAAGCATCCAAAACAGGATTCTGATGAAGTAAGTAATTATTATTTTTTAAAGCATGAAAATTTCCTGTTTGGAAAACAACATAAATTCTATTAAGACCTTTTTAATATAAAAAGAGAAAAGATGGATCTCCCTTTGGACATTGACATTGTTTATTCATACCAAATTGGCTATGCATCATGTTAGTGTACCAATCATTCATTCGGCCCCAAAAGAAGATAAATCTAATTTCCCTCCCTTTATCATCACTGATTTACATCCATTCTACGTGCTTGCATGGGTTAGCTATAATAACTTAATGCCATGGTGTACCAGTTGCCATCAGGCAAATTTTAAGCAAGTTCATGGCTGGATGCCCTTCCCATTGCCAACCTACTTTTACAGAATGGGAACTGGGCATTATACAAAGGACTTTAAAACACTTTTGTAGATGGCAAGTAAGGGTCCTTACTGCCTGAAGTAATCAAAGATTACATGCTTACTTATTTTCTCAAACACCTTGAGAATAAAAATTTAATCTGTTATTGGCAATACAGCATCCATTGTGAGTGTCTGTAACCTTTGATCCATTCCATACAAAGATGGAAGAGCAGTAAAATAATGACATGGAAAAGAAAAAAAAAACATTCAAGATTTCCACCTGTTTTACTCCTCCTTCTTTACCAGTTATTTCTATGATAGATGTTCTAATGAATTTTGTATCATTGTTCCATCTCTTTGTATCTCGTCAAGCTAGAAATGACCTTGGAAGCACACAGGCTTTTTCTGTACAATGTAGAAAACAATGTTATAAATTGTTTCTATCCCAAACATCTGCTTTCTTGACATACTCTCCAGAGAGTAAACTTGTATTTTGAGCAATGTGATTCCATTTTTTTCTTTCACTCTCCAGACTTTTCCCCACTATGATGTAGGATTGCCAGAATCAAGAGAAAATACAAACTCTCCCATCAGGTGCTACCATTCATTCTCTAATGCTGTAACAACAAAATTCAAGATATACATTATAAATTATTCATGAAAAATGTTGTACCTGGGCTTGGCAAACATTGAAATGTGACTGGAATGGTCTCATGGCCAGAAGTTCCCTCTCTATCCTAGGCTTAAGTCCAGGTAGTGATGAAGGGCCACCAGTCAGGAAGACATTGTTCACTAGTCTGTTCTGAATGTCTGAGTCAAAGAGGCCCAACACGTACTGAATGGTGGCTGTTATCCCACCCTGCTCCAGCCCATACATATATGGCTGGAAGAGTAATTCTCCAATTCTGATCTGTAAAAAAAAAAAAGTATATACACTAGTATATCGGAACAGGAGGGATGCATGGCCAAGAGCAGCTCAACAGAACAGGTTGACTTAATTACAAGAAACAGATCTATAAAACAGGAGGACTACACAGTTATGAACACATCATCAGAATAAGACTAAATGAACAGGAACAGAATCACTAAATGTCAAGTACTGTAACATCAACAGACCAGGAGGACTATATGACCAGAAGCACATCAGTAAAACAGAAGGACTAAATAGAAAGGAACATCAACAAATTAGTAAGAATAAATAGCCAGGAGCATATCAATATTACATGAATAAATGACCAAGAACAATATGAGAAATGGTTAAGAACTCATCTGTTTAAGAAAAAATAATGGACAATGTTGATGTATGTGAAAATCATAGATCGATCCTGGAAATTCCATTTTAGGGCCAAGTCTGCACAAGTACCCATCAACTCTTAGTGGTTACAACCAAGAGGTGTGCTGGGAATTTCTTAACAGCTGTTTCTGATTAAGGTTGAAATTCAAAGGGTGGTATAAATTGGTGAGTGCCAATGGTGTGAGCCATTAAGCTTTGGGGGTCTGAGGCGAGCAGTTAGCTCCCCCAATGCATATTAGTATTTCTGTAAAATTTGGACGAAATTGTTTTACATCTTTTATACTCACTGATGACATAATTACATTACCTTAGAGTAAACTAGTTTTTCATTAAAAAAATAACTACAATAGATACAGCAATCACGCCATTAGCCAGAATCTCAGGTCCCTGGAACTCTCCAATAGCCAAACATGGACATGAGTTTCTGAGGATGAAATCATGCACATTTTCTAGAAGAAATCAAAGAAAATCTCTCCACTCTAGGCATGGGAAAATTTTTTCCAAGAGTTCCGAGAGATTGCATCATGCTCTGATGTGTCCCCCACATGTCAGGCACATGGGTGATCTAGCTGCTTGGGTAACTTAGGCAGTAGGCTCAGGTGCTTAGTTCATATTCTGCTGCCTTTGTATGAGGTTTTCCCTCGTTTACTGGCATGGATCGGAGACTTTCTGCATGATCGCAAGCAGTGTGTGGTAATTAATGGTACACAATCGTCATGTGTACCCGTGACAAGCAGGATGCCACAGGGCAGTGTACTGGGCCATTGTTGTTTGTTTGTTTCATAAATGACATGCCAGAAGCTATACACTCCTCCATACAAATGTTTAAGGACGATGCCAAGTTATTCAAGGAAATTAAGAACCAAACAGACTGTGAAGAGCTGCAAAAAGATCTCTGTGAGCTTCAAGAGTGGTCAAAGAAATGGCTGCTAAGATTCAATGTCACAAAGTGTAAGAAGATGTACCTGGGTCGCACCAACAGTAAGGGGGCTTATCATATGTCCCAACGGGATGAAGAAACTGCATTAATAGAAACCAAATGCGAAAAGGACCTGGGTGTGTATGTTGACAATGAACTGAAGTTCTTGGGCCATTGTGAGAAGAAGGTGAATCAAGCCACCAAACCAGTAGGCCTTATAAAAAGGTCGTTCAGATATCTGGATGGTCAGTCCCTCATAACAATCTTCAAGAGTGAGGTGCTTCCCTGCCTGGAGTATTGTCACCCCGTCTGGTCTCCAAGATATGCTAGGGACTGTCAGTTGATTGAAAATGTCCAAAGGAGGGCCACCAGACTGGTGCTTGCACTCTGGCACTTCAGTTATCCAGAGAGATTAGAGCGCCTGCAACTGCCTAGCTTTTACTACAGATGGGCAAGGGGTAAGCTAATTGAGGTGTATAAGCATCTCAAAGGGCACTACTCAATCGAGTGTCCATACCTGGAGCAGGCAGACCCCTCCCCCAACAAGGGGCCTCAGCTCAAGGTTGAGAAAGCCACAAGTCCAGAAAACTCTGAGGGCAAACTTTTTCACATTGAAAACTGTGAACTCTTGGAACAACCTGCCAGAAAGTGTTGTGATGGCACCGAGTGTGAGCTCTTTCAAGACCAAACTTGACTAATACTAGATCAGGTTCAGATTCATTCAGGAGCCAGTGCATGCCCAGTACTTGCCAACAGTGCGTAACAGAGACGTGACAGACCACCCAAGCAGCTAACGAGCCGATCAGTGGCGAAGATGATAAAAGTAAAAATTAAAAAGTAATTTGTGTTGTACAATACTGTACATTAATGTACCATGACAAAATCAGCAAATAAAAAGTGATTACAGTTACGTATACTGTACTGTATGTTCTGTAAGTGAGAGTACTATACTGTACATAGCAGAATGGATAGTGTATGCCTACTGTAGGCTAGTGAGTAGAGGGTGTATGTACAGTATACAGTGTGAGTGCAATCCATCCTTCATGGAGTGACAGATAGTAACACCTGCTACAGTAGATGGTACAGGACAAAGGCAGGCCATCATGTATCATCATATCACCATTTGGCCTGCCTGTATCACAAGCTCAAGAAAACAACTTCTGCTGGTGAGTACCGGGTACAGTACAGTATAGTGTATATAGTAGTATATTTTGTTTATTTATACGAGTACAGTGATATCCCCATTAACCGGAACAATTGGTGCAGAGCACTTCCGGGGATGAGAGATTTTCGGCTAACCAGACAACTTTCTCAAACCCGGAAAAATTCCTTATCCCCGGAATATTTTCCAGTTATTGAGAAAAGTTTCCAAGTGTCTAAGCTAGACATCTTACACACACACACACAGACACTAGCCCACTTCCCCAGAATGTTTCTGGGTGCTGGGGATGTTTTCCTTGAGTCTAAACTACCGGAGACCATAAATACAATTATAATTAAGTTAAAAACTCCATTTCCTTACTATAATAATCCAGAATTTATCTAAAAGTTTGGTAAAGTAAATGTATTTGAAAATTAAAAATCTATGTGATATGGGCGTGAATGAAACTGTGTGTTACAGCAAAGACTGGTATTTTCCTTTCCCATGGAGCTGTGGGGTATTAGTGGTCTCATATTACTGACCTTCTGATGGAATGTCAGGTCACCCTTTCTTGGCCAGGGGATTAGTGAGTTTCATGACCTAAAATGTCTTGAATAAACACGAAATCTAAAGTAATTTTAGAGAGATTGTGAAAAGTATAAGTATAAATGGAGTGAGAAAGCAGAAAGGTGTGGGTAATTAGAGAGATGGAGTGGAAATGAGTGTTGCCAAGCACTCGTCAATAGCTGATATTTAACTTGCAGTCACACACACGCAAATTTGTCACACAATAAGACCCTCACTCCTTATGTCTGCTGTCTTAATTCCCTTATTAGGGGTATGTGAATGGTGTTGGGGTGTGATGTTCGGGTGTGTGTGTGATCATACTACAGTAGTTGGTATGTAGTGATCGTCACGTCTCTATTACACTTCACTCAATTGACTGTAATACATAATACCCAAGAAAGGGTGACCTGACATTCCATCAGAAGGTCAGTAATGAGACCACTAACCCCCTACCTTACCTCCACCTGACACTGAGGCAGGTCAAGTCCCCCAAAAATACTTTAACTTTAATCTTTATTCAAGACATTTTCAGAAAATTCCCTGGATTTTCAACCTCGGAATTTTTTTCCTAAAGCCGGAAATTTTTTGGAATATTACAGCTTTGGGAATGATATTCCAAGCAAATTTCAATTTTGGCAATCGGAGATTTCTGGGTTTGAGGGATTCCAGCCAATGGAAATATTACTACAGGGTACAGGTACACCACTGATTTTCCGGCACCCTTGGTTCCAAAGCCTTGCTGGATTATCCATTTTGCCGGACAAACCGAGGTCAGGTAATAATTATTCAACAATACACCTCTGACCCACAAATTATACACCTCCTGTGTCTCTAAAGCATCATGGACTGTTAGAAACTTAAATTAAACAAATATTAAATGTAAATTAAATGTGAAAAAGCCATAATTTTGAGCAACATTACTGTACACACGGTGTACTCAAATGTACTGTACTACACTGTGCTAAAAATTTTATCTCTTGTGCAAATTATGTGATGTTTATACAGTCAACCCTCGCTTTACACGGTCCCACATTCCGCGTTTCCACGTTTACGCGGTACCCTGCCGAAACCGGAATGCTCACATTCCGCGGTGCGTGTACCCCTTTACGCGGAGAGCGACTGGCGAGCCGCGCCATTTTTGGATCCAAACCTCCCGCCATCTCTCCCGCCCTCTCCTGCCATCCGCCATGTTGTGTAAGCGGCGCAAGCAGGGTGCGCACAAGGTCGCCCAGTCATCAAAACATTACCGAGTTCTTCACCCACCACCCACCACAGCCGGCCCAAGTCAGTGATAGTGATAATTATACAGTGAGGATATGGACTTATATGGACTTTGAGGGGTTTGACAAAGAGGCCCTGCAAGCCTCTGTGGTGGATAGTGATACAATTGATACAAGTGATACAGGTGAGGGCCAATAATCTGCCCTCTGCCTCGGAACCAACCCCCCATCCCCATGTGCCCAGCCATCTTTTCTATTAATGTAAGTGTTAAAAAACCTAATATTATTGATATTTCTCTTAATTATTAATTGTGTGTGCATACCATCATAAAATTAAGAAGTTATTTTTACTACAACGTAGGTATTGTGTCTGAAAAAGTGGAGTTTGGGGGTCGGCCCGGTCTCTATTTCAATTAATCTCATATGTTATGTTGTTCACTTTACGCGTTTCTCACTTTCCGCGGTACCCTGTGGGTTGAATTAACCGCATAAAGTGAGGGTTGACTGTACTCACATTAATCATTATCTTACAAGGATTCCAGCAATGTAATTTATATTCTGCTAAGTCTAGTCTGCGACATTTCATAAGATAAAAACTTTAAGCCTAAGCTGCCTTCACCCTGGCTGTGAGGAAGGGGAGGGGAGAGGGGGTTGAAAGGTTGACAGCTGTCAGGGAGGGGAAATAAAGTGTGAAGTTATCAAAACAGAAGTTTTAGTTTTTCCCTTATAAAATGTCACTGAATTGACTTGGCAGTATATAATTTGCATT